CGATAATCTAAATCCGGAATATCAAAATCCTCTCTTAAGTGTAACAATAGATCAGAATATGAGTTAAAGTTCGCTTTGTTACTTCTAAACCACGCCAATGCAGAATCTTCTAAGAGATCGGAAAATGCTGTCAGCATACGAGATTGCGGAATTTCGCGGGCCTGTCTAAGTTCCTCTAACCTCTCAATAAAACTTCTAACGCAACCTGAACCATTATATTTTAAATTAAGTGAATTTAAGTTAATTGGTTTTTCTTTAATGACGATTAATTCCTCACTTCCATTCTTTTCATTCATCCCTGTTTTCGAGATAGGCAACACATATTCATCCGTCCCTTGTTCCCTCACATCCTTCATGCCGGTTTTACTACACTTGGGAGTACCTTCCTTATCACTTAATTCGTCTGAACTACTTTCATCTTCCTGTTCTACTTGAGCTAAGATACGTATGAGCCTGTGGCGCAAATCCACAAGAGAAGCATTGTCAACCTCCAATCGAGCAAGTCTATCGATTAGATAATTAGCCCTAACTGACACACGTAAGTGAAGATTACTGTCCTTTCCGAGGTCACCTGATGACAGCAGATCCTCGAGCTCAGCAATTTTCGGCGTACAGGCCTTGAGCTCGCTTGCCGGGAGTGGTGTGATCACTGGAGCACACTTGATGCTGCCACGTCTCTTCAGCTTAAAAATTTGGCGAAGCTGCTTTCTCAGTGCATCCACCGATGTGTCAGGAGCTGTGGAAATGCCAAGAATATCCAATTCATATATGATTTCATCCTTTCTTAAGTAGTTTACATATTTTTGTAAAGAGAGCATTTTCTCAGATTTTTTCAAGTTAAAGTCAGTTATTTCTGTTACTAAGTTAATTATTAAGTTAATTATTAAATTACGTTTAATCAAGTTTTTAAATCAAGCTACTTATTCAAGTTATTTAATCTAAGAAAGTTAAATACAAAGGAATTTATAATTTTGAAGGAGGGTACTTTTATTATTACAAGTTTCAATTCTTAAAGACTATCGTGTTCACTGTTCAAGGTCAATTTTTTACACATCCAATCAATACGAAAGTGTTATTCTAGTATAAGTTGATTAATTCTAATGTGCTAAGTTAATTAATGCTAGTGTGTTTTTCAGACTGGTTGGGGATTTAAGCATCTATGTTTCCACCAACCTTTTTATCATCATTTAGACACACTAGTATTCCAAGAGTATTGTTTATTAAAGTTTTCTAAGTTATTAAGTAATTTACTTCTAATGTGCTATTCAGACTGATTGGGGATTTTAAGCATTAAATTTTTCCACCAATCTTTTTATCATCATATGAGCACACCAGTATTTCCCTCAAATACAGTATTTTATTGTTCGGCCCTAAAGTTGGTCGCCATTTTGTAACAATTTTTGTTATCACCGGCTATTTCAGGGCTTACATGAGACTCGAAACTTATTTAATTTATAATCAGGGCGCCGTGATACTGTAATTTGAGGGAGATAAATGAAAATGTCTAAAACCGCAGTGAACAAGATATTATATTGTCAAAAAAAAAGATTCAGATCTTATTTCATCATGGTTAAAACTTAATACTAGTCACATTCAACTTAATAAATACATAGCTATATTTCCTCAAAGATTTTTCTTTTGATTTAAAGATATTCATACATTCAAGATCATGTGCTAATACAGTAATACTCAATTTAAGTTTCTTATATAAACAAATTATTAAACAAGTTATAAAATATTAAGTTTTGGAAATTTAACAATAAAAATTTGTTATGTTTTTATAATGGCTTTACAGTTTACCACTACAAATCCTTTATCACGTTAAACAGAAATTGTTCTCCGGAGTATGCACTGGTTAAATATCAAGAAGTTATAAGTTTTACTTAGCTTGGCAAGATCATGGGAGCATCAGGATGACTCAAATGTCCTCAGGGATGAAGCAGGAGTTGCTGTCATCACGTGAACCCGTCACTTTTTGCTCAAGAAAGCTTCACAGGCTCATATATATATATATTTCCAAGGAGATTCCAATCAGGATCAAGTAATTGTGATTATTACTGTTATTAATTAGCCAAATTAATGGACCTAGAACCAATTACACATTTTTCTATAATTCAATAAAAAAAACTAACTGGACCTACAGCCTAACGAATCAAATGTATTGAACTTACCCGTTAATCCGGGGAGAAATATCAAGTAAATAATGCACTGACTACCACTGCTAGTCTTAATGCTATTTTCTAAGTATGGTCTTCAAGGTTCTATCAGCCAAAAGAGACCGAATTTGGTTGTGCACTGCTATTTATAGGCTACTACAACACGTGACAGCGTCATTGCAAATTTCTCTCATATCACCATATTTGGTGTGAGGAATCAAACGGACCGGTTTTGCTGACTCCGCCTCTCACTGTTTCCAGAACATTAATGTGACGTCACATCCAATTTTGCATCTCATTTAAAAAATTACACACTAGCTCCATCTAACTTACATTCCAAATGCAACTACTAGGTTCACACATATATTGTACTTGTCCGTTGCTTTTCAAAGTGGACTACGATATTGAATAATTTATATGCATGATGATAGATGGCGCTGAATAAATAATAATATTTCTACGACTTAATATTTAAGAATTATATTGCTATGTTTTAACGTTATTAAATTTAATTGCTACAAACTACGGCCCGTAATATAGAAAGATTCTCAGTGACTGATCAATCTTGAGCATAGTTAGAAAGGGATGTCGCTATATATAGCACATAGCGATATCCCTTTCTAACTGTATTCAAGTAAAGATCAACATTCAACACTTGGTTGTCATTCCGTAATACGGGCTTTAGTGCTGATCTTTACTTGAGTACAGTTAGAAAGGGATGTCGCTATGTGCTATATATAGCGACATCCTTATAGCTATGCTCAAGACTAGATCAATTACTGAGAATCTTTCTATAATACGATGGCGAAAGACACAAGTTTGATGGGTATGAGCCCAGCCTGATACCTCGGCTGAATTAAATTATTTCTAGTAAAATTTGTAAAATTCAAAAAGCTACACAATTAGGTAACAACCAATAAGGTTTATAATAACCCGAGACCTTGTGCTGAGAAAGGTTTCGGCAACTAACTCTGCAAGGTCTCTTATTCCCTCTCTATTATACAGATATATCAAAATATTACACATCAAGTGAAGTCATTCATGAAGTCACGTCAAGTCGTCAGTCTTTTGAATAGAAGCTACTGGAGGGTTCGTGTAGTTTTTTACAATAGAGATTTTAAATATGGTTTGGAGAGGGTGGTCGTACAAAGGGGTGGAAAATAGGGGTGAGAAAGGATGTAACGCTCTCCCTCTCTTATCCCTCTTGTAGTTCCTATTCAAAGGATGATGATTTGGACACGGCTAAGTTATGGCCGATTGTTGAAATTTCCTTTTGCTGCCATAGACTTTCAGCTGTTTATACAGGGCTCAGGTAAGGTGGGAGTACTTCACAAGGCTGCCTCATTGTTATTATTTATGATGAGGAGTTGAATTTGAGAAGCAACAGTCACTATCCCAACATTCAATTTTCTTAGTGTGGGGCAGCAAACTGGTTTCACAAGTACTTACCACAACTACAGCACACTCACAGAAAAGGTGGATACGTGTTAACAGTCTGCGGCTTCTTGCGGTTGCGTTGTGTTGCCTACAAAATGTGAATGTGCTTGTATTATCGCTATTGGCAGAGTAGCATACTTACAGACAGTTCCTTTTTATGCTGTTTGTGGTGTGGCAGGCTGTTCTGTATACCATTGGCTGCTGAACTAAGTTTTTTTGCCAGAAGTGTAATGTGAAGATACCAACATAGTTTTGAGTCTTCTGTACCCAACAATGTAGTAGAGTCCACTATTTGATTGTTTTATACTCGTATGTATTTTTTTTGTACAATTATATTTATAAATATGAAGTTTGTTTGTTTGGTTATCTCAGGAACTACACTGATTTAAATTGAGAAAAGAAAAATTTGTTATTTCATTTATTAATATGCTTGAATGGACACTTCATTAAGAGGCTGCATTTGAACTGTTAAAATTAAAAACTGGTAGTATTAATTTGTATCCTTTAAAAATGAACAAATAACTGCAATATACTGTTTGTAAATGATGATGTTAAGTAAATGGTAAAATTTATCTCATTTCTGCTGAAAAAATAACAAATAAGTATTCAAATAGACCATTACATCAATTTTTTTTTTTTTCTTTTTTTTTTTTATAGTTAGTTCCGACAAATGACTCCACCCCACCTGATGTTAAGTGAAGGTGAAGTCCAGACGCGAAGATAGCTGATACAGCAGTTCTACCTGCCACACCAGCCATCCTCACCCTGCCGGCCTGCATGTTGCTTCTTCACGCCTCTTTTAAAGGATCCCAGGTTGTAAGAGGGAGGGAACACGTGAGCGGGCAGAGCATTCCATTTACGGATAGTGCGACAAAGAAATGAGTCACCAAATTTCCTTGTACGCGTTGGAATTGTGGCCACAGTAAAACGGTGACAACGTAGGCCAGCGCGCGTGGTCCTCTGAAGGAAAGGGGAAGGTGGGATAAGAGAGAATAACTCCTCAGAACACTCGCCGTGGTACAAACCATAGAACACTCTTAGTGACGCCACGTCACGGCGTAATTGAAGAGGCTCAAGGTGTTTAGTCACCTCCTCATCGCCTATGATGCGGATCGCGCGCCGCTGTAACCTATCCAAAGCATCGAGCAAGTACTTGGCGGACTTTTACTTATATTGTTACATGTGACTCCTGTTTAAACATATTAACTTAGTACCTTGGATAACATGATAAAAATATTACACATTGAACCAGGTTATAAACTGGCAATGGATTACAGGAACAAGTCACATATACACTCCAGTTAAAGAGCAAACCATGTACATCCATACTAACTGTATAGTCTGAATATAAATAATGGAAATAATTTTTCTATTCTTCAAGAAGAAACAATTCCATCATAAGATAATGTTTCAACATTCATTTAATAATTTCTACATTGCTATAATAATTGAAACAATATTGAAAACTATTTGGGAGTAAACAAGTAGTGAGGGCCATTTCCAGGGTATTGCTTGCAAGCTACTGGTCTGCCAATTTTAAAATCTTCCAAGTAAAAATATAGTGCAAATGATCCACCGACAACACCTAAGAACCAAGTCCATTGATGTGCCAAGGAAAATCTTGGCCTCAAATTAGGATCATAGCGGTCTTCACCAAAAATCTCAGCACTTGCATGAACCTGTAATGCAAAATTCCATTTTTATACCAAAAACATATCTGCTGTGATTACAACAAAAATATTATTTGAATTTATCTTACAGGCTCATTGAAGTTTCTTTTTAATTCAGGGCAGTCATAAGGATAATGGGGATCTTTCGAATCTGCACCAATATCTGGCAATTTAGGGTAATCCCCATACCCCATATCTTCTGGATATGGCTGATATTCTTCAATTGTTAACCCATACTTTTTTGCAGCTGCAACGCGTTCCTCCGGTGTCTTTGGATAAGGACCCGGTTTATACTGATAATTCCAATCTGAAACATGAAAATGACGTAACTAGAACCTCTACTATTTTCATAACTCACTACAAAATAAAAAGAGTTGTCTTACGGTTTCGAACAGCGTTTGAAAGTATTGCTGCTACTTTACGTACACCATGAGGTTTTACAATAATAGCGTTTTTTAGTAGATTGGATGTCATCTCAAAAATTTGAGTGCACCATACAAAATTCCAAAATAGTTTTTCTTCTTCTATAATTTTTTCAAGATTCTCCCTTTTCGGGAAAGGCAAAAGAAACGATGCGCATACAGTCTAGTCTTACGTTTTAATATTTGTTTTTTACATTAGAATGTCGGTGAGACGCATTTTAATGTTTCTAGGAGTGTTTGGCACGAAATATATTGGTTGGCTTTTTCGATAAGCTTCTGTGAGGTAGTCAACACTACAATAAAGTTCTCACGTCCACTTGACCGGAATAGCGTATATTTTAAAGATTCCACTAATTCTTCAGTTGCGCAGTCGGTTGTAACACAAAATCACATCAATTTTATTTCACAATATCCACTATGAACGAATTTAAGAATAATTAAAATTAAGAGGCCATACTGTTTTATTGCAAAACTCTTTGGTACTCTTTGGTTTATAAAGAATGTAGATGTGATGTCATTGTTAATAGTTTTAAAGACACTTGGTTACTATGGTTTTGTTTAGACAGGTTTTCTTTTCGGTTGTATTTATGTTATATTATTATTTAAAGTATTGTTTCTTCAACACTGCGTCCCATTTCAACATTAACAGGTGATGGGCCCAGCGTCTTTGTGAAGAAATAATAAATTAAAGATAGAACTTTTCAAAATACAAATTAATATCCAAGTTCGACTGCACTAACTGGTCACAATGGAAATACCGTATTTCGGTCTTATTACGAGGTATGGATGGTCTAATGCCTGGGTTCCGAACCTGGGGGTAATTACCCCTCCGGGGGTAAATCAGTCATACTTCGGGGGTAACAAAGAACCTAATTATTTGTTCAAATCTAAATAATAAGAGAATACTATATAATCTACTAAATAGAGCATGCGCTCCTTCTTGCTAGCGAGCCCGCGGGGTGCTGAGTGTGGGAAGCGGGGCGAGATTTTCTTCTGATGATGACATTATTATTTGAGACGAAGATGTAGCGGCCAAATTGGAATTTCTTGGACTGATGATAACATTTTAAAGTCGGGGTAAAATCTGTTTTCCTAATAGGTTACAGGGGTAGCCGTATTGGAAAGGTTAGGAAACACTGGTCTAATGGATATAGTGCTGGTAAATAAAGGTAAGCCTGAGAAGCCTTGCAATCTAATACTGGTGATGCTACTGCTGCGATGGCGATAGCAAACTATGAAAAAGAACTGAAGAACTGGGAATATTTATGATTGGAAAGTACAGCATTACTGTCAATAACTAATAATATAAACGATGAAATGTTTGACAAGGTAATCAGGTTCACAAATCCGAAAGATGTGTGTGATGTGTAAATGACGATCGATTGTATGACCTTTGTATGGAATTCTTTGAACTCAAGATGGATACTGTCGATGATATGGCGACTCATATTTCTAAAGTTAAGAACTTAGGGCACAAACTAAATCAGGAGCTGATAAAAGATAATGAAGGAAAGGAATTGCCGGAATTACTTTTGATTTGCAAGATTTTAGATACACTGCCACAGGAATACTTTGTATTTCGATCGTGTTGGAAAGACAGAACTGTAGATAACCTTACAGGCCAGCTGTGTGCTCATGAAAGAGCGTTGATGACGACCTCATCATCGAAAGAAGACGTTTGTGTATCAAGATCTAGCTGTGTACCACTAGCATTGAAGCAAAAGAAAGCTACCAATAAAAGAATCAAGGCCTTTAAATGTCACATCTGTGGTGAGACTGGACATTTTAAGAAGGACTGTCCTAAAAAGGTGCACGGAAAGCCTGGTGCTAGTACTAACATGACGGTTATACTAGTCAATGCGACAGAAAGCAACGTAGATGGTAACGAATGGTACGTGGACAACGGAGCCACACACCATGTCACGATGAGAATCGACCTGTTTGAAGGTTGTGTTTAGGGCTGTACACCTGCGCGAAACCACTTCAGAGCGGACTAGAAGTTTGGCGCGATCTATAATAGGCTAATTGACTCATGTCAAATTGCACATTACAAATGTTTATTTCTTATAATTTTTGGTATGAGGAACATAAATACATCGATTTCACTTCATAAAATTACAAGATGGCTGTACCATAGTAATTTAATTTGAAAATATAGTTTTTAGTCTATGCTTTTTAAACACTAAAACGCTGTCCACAATGATTGTGACGCCAACAAATTAGTAAACAACTAAATGTCATTGTCATGTCACTGTGGTTTCTTTCGTCGCACTAAAATATATCTAAAAATTGGTGTCAATTCTGGAATAATTCTTTAAACTTAAAACAAATTTTGACATATCCATCTCTCCATTTCAATCAGAATAGAGAATGACAAGGATACAGTGATGTCGATTCTCTAAAGCTAAACTTAAATTTGACAACAGTGCATCCTTCTCCTTCTCTATACAGAATGAAAAATTTAGTTTTAGGTTTAGAGAATCACACCGAAAATGGGCCCACTACTGTTGTCAAATTTACAGTTTGGCTATAAAGTCGTGACATTAAATGATGGCGCCACTAGTATGCATGTAGCAACCCTGTACAGTCTGACCAAAATGATTTTGATACTAGCAGTTCATTCAAGTAAAATAGGTAATTAATAAGACACACTATACAGACAGCTGCGGAACATTTTCACGTCCAAAATACCTCAGTGCCATAGGACGAAAGTCTTTAACCAGTGTGTGTTGCCAGTGATGACCTATGGCAGTGAGGCGTGGTCGTTTACTATGGGTCTCATAGGACGGCTCAAGCTCGCCCAGCGGGCAATGGAGAGAGCTATGCTTGGTGTTTCCCTGCGTGATGGAGTCAGAAATGACGAGATCCGTAGGAGAATTAAAGTCACCGACATAGCTCGAAGAATAGCCAAGCTGAAGTGGCAGTGGGCGGGACACATAGCGAGGAAAACCGATGGCCGTTGGGGCGGAAAGGTTCTCGAATGGCGACCGCGTGCCGGACAACGCTCAGTGGGAAGACCCGCTACAAGGTGGACCGACGATCTGGTGAAGGTCGCGGGAAAACGCTGGATGCGGGCAGCGCAGGACCGATCGTTGTGGAGATCCTTAGGGGAGGCCTATGTCCAGCAGTGGGCGTCGTACGGCTGATATGATGATGATGATGACTATACAGTCGTATTTTGTTTCTGTTTTATATATAGTAGGTACCTATGCTTATAAAAAGTTTAGCCAAGCATATTTAATTGAATCAGAATAAAATTATTATAGATAAAATAGTACTTTATAGTGTAAAAGTGTGTAATGTTGGTGATTACCGCTGAGGTGCCATTGAGACCAGAGCCGTTAGGTAATCATCAATACACACAAGTATCATCATACGACGTTTTTTAACACACTTGTTAAGAAAATAATTCTAAAAATCATTTTATAGTATATAAAAAGTTTATTTAGAGAAACAATTTGTAAATGTGCAGTTAGTAAAATTAGTGATAGGTATCTTCACTAAAAGCATCTGGCCATGATTCTTTGTGACCATTTCTTTCTTTGGTCGGCCTTGCCTGTTTTCCCAGGAGTTTCAAACTTTCCATCATTCTTAAAACCTTCGTTGACTACCCGGCTCTGATTTTCCTGAAAAAGGGTAAAAAAATATGTAACGGAATAGAAACAAAAACTGGGTGCGTGTACTTATGTAGGCGCGTGAGAAGTTATCCTTCTTTGGCATCGTTTAAAATTAGTTTTTAATTGCATGCAAATAATTAATACCAATAAATTAATAAAAAGTCTGGAAAAGGACACAGTCAATAAAGTTCAGTTTTAATTTGAAAAAATAAATAAATAATCAAAATATTCAATTAAAATCGCTACTGAATATAATTTATTAGAACATATGTGATTTGCACTTGTATGAAACTCAAACACGTATTCCGAATATACAAACTAGAAACATGTGGATAAATATTATAAATATGAATACCTATAACTGTTACTTTATTACAAAAAATAAAGATGTGGTTTTTGGTTCTACTACACCAATGGTCAAGAGATGGCGCTGTAGTCTCCTGAATCGCGCTTTGGTTCCGTTGTTCCAGATTAATAAATACTTTTGATAGGCCTTCACAATGCAGTCGTTAGCACCCACTAAATAGAGATTCTATTTCTATTTTGTTGGTAGATTTTCTTAATGTGCGGTAAACACAAAAGTAACGCATGAAGTTGGTCGCTAAAGCGACCAACTTCATGCTGTTAAAATTTTGTGTTACAGTGATGCGCGCGCATCTTAAAATTTCACTCTCATCATTTTTTCATAACGCGCCTAAAGAAGTATTATAACTTCAAAAATACAAAAGGAAAACTGTTCCACAACTGAAACTCGATGACAGCTGATGTACATAAGTTTGGTGTTGCCAGACACATGAATAATGTTAGTTCCTCAAACATTCATGTCACGACTTTATAGACAAACTGTGGGTTTAGGTTTAGAGAATCATGTCAGAATCGACACCACTCATATCTTGTAGAGAAGTTTCCGTTTATTAGTTTTGTTAACTAAATCAATGGTGGACGCCGGATTTTTGAAAGCAGAAACGACAAAACTCTTTTCTAGTAGGTATATTCATAACCTTAAAAATTGTATTTTTGAACTTTAAATAGTAATAAATGAGTACTTACATCGAAGTGATCTTTGCTAAAAGAAATGACTTTCAGACGATAGAGTATACGTAGTATCTCTAACTAGTCTGTGGATAGAGTTACAGGATTTAGCAGGTTTTAAACGTGTGTTCATGTGTAGGCATGTGTATTTCTCTAAGCAATTTAAACCACAACTATAGTCGTAAAAAAACAGTTTAAAACGTTTAAAACCGAAACGCACTGTTTAAATCCCGAAAGCCACCGTTTTAAACCGTGTAAGCGAAGACAAAAGGGAGATATGTATTTAGAATTGTAAAGGCATAAAATAACGTACAATATTTTACAAGCTAGTTACTTGAATGGTTTTATTTGTTGTAATTAAATATTTACAAGTTAAAAAACAATATTATTGGTTACTTTAAATAATTGTTTTTTTCTCACTTCATGCGAAAAAATATTTAACTTCCTACCTATGTACAGACCGCGATACGCTAACATAGCGAT